AGAGGGAGAAGCAGGCTCCCCGCAGAGCAGGGAGCCCGATGCGGGGCTTGATCCCAGGACCCTGGGATCATGACCTGAGCACAGGCAGATGTTTAACAACTGAGCCACCCAGGCACCCTAAACCTCTCTCCATTTTATCCTCTCCTTGTGAACGTCCTAATCATCATCCCACCACAGCTCAGGGAATTTGCTGGAGATTCCTCTGTAAGTAAACAAACTTTCTACTTGAACTCCAAGTCCCATATTCTTTCATGACAATAATCTGCCTGGTGATTTCTATTAGTACCCCGGCACAAAGGGAAGCTACTTGCTGACAATGAAGAGAGGTACAACAGAAATGTTTTCTTCGTTTCTAATCTCATCATTGAAAATACAATTTATCTGATTTTTTCGAGCTATCTATTTATTAGCTGATATGATAGTTTAAAGTATGATATTCCTTTCCCTTCAAAAGGTGGAGCCTAACTGCCCTCCCCTGGAGTGTGGGCTCAAGTCATTTCTAGGAACCAAGTAAGGTATTAAGTGACAGCACTGTGCAACTTCCAAGACTAGGTCATAAAGCACTGTGTACCGTGGCTACCTCCGTGCCTTCTCTCTGGGGGAAGTCAGCTGCCACGTCATGAGGACACCAGAGCTGTCCCAGGGAAAGGTAGCCATGGAAGGAATGGGGGCCTGGTGCAAGGAGCCATGTTGGCGAGCCACACAGAAGGGGATCCTGCAGCCCCAGGCAGCCCTTCAGATGAGGGCCTCCCTGGCTACATTGTAACGGGAATCTCCAGCTCTCAGCTGAGCACCAGAACCGCCCATAGATTCCAGACCAACCACAGAGAATAAATGATTGTTGTTTCAAGCCACCAAAACCTGGGGCGCTCAGTTATGCAGCAGTAATTAACTGCTTGCATGCCAACTTCTTCAGACCATGGCAAGAGCAGGAAAGTTAAGTTTTTCTATTTAAGATGCCTCAGATCTTAGGAAAGCGTATCTTATATTGTAACTCTTAGATCTAGGAATGTAAGATCCATCTTTTGTTTAATTTTAAACCCATGTTTCCCAAAGAGCTAATTGGTTCAAGAAGATTTTTAAGTTTGAACAATTTTGTTCTTAAATTAACATCAATGAAGTTTTAAGATTTAAAATTTTTAAGATTCAGATATTTTAAAATGTTATTAGAAAATTGAAAGCTTGCATATTTAATCCACAAATTCATGGATATTAAGATTTTTTTAAAATAAAAGTTTAAAAAAGAATTTTTTTTTTTAAGTTCAGCCTTACCATAACCTTATTTGCAATGGTGAAACACAAAAACTCTGAAAGTGTTCTTCATTAATTTGGCACAAACTGATTTGGTGGCACGGCTTGACCTAACAAAGGCTATTCTAGACTTTATCCTACTTTGTGTGAAAATTCTTAAGTTTTCCCGAAAAATAACAATGTATTTACGGACAGCCACGTTATGCTCATGCTGGCATATGTATCTAGTATTTGCTTCACTTCTTTCCCCCAGCTTTACTGAGGTATAACTGAGAAATAAAATTGTAAGGTATTTAAAGTGAACATGATGATTTGATATACACACACACACACTGCGAAGGAATTCCCGTCATTGAGTTAAGTAACATACCCATCACCTCACCGATTTACTTTGTGTGTGTTCCTTTCATGGGTGAGAAAACATTTAAGTTCTACTCTCTCAGCAAATTTCAAATATACCATCCATATTACTTTTTAAAATCTGAAAACTTCGCAATGGAGATGTTTTGTTTTGTTGTTTTTACGGACGTGGAGCCCAACGCGGGCCTTGAACTCAAGACCTGAGCTGACATTAAGAGTCCGAGGCTTAACCGACTAACCCGCCAGGCAGCCCTACAATGGAAATGTTTCAAACAAAGCAGTAACCGTCTTTTAGAAAGCCCGCTGTTGGCAGTATGAAGGTAAGTCAGGAAAGAAAGTGACTAGAGACAGAAAAGCAGACAGATGGCTCCTGAACAGAACAGAGGCAGAAGTCACGGAGTCCACAGAATGACTGTAGAGAGAGGGGAAGGAGCCATAACTGTACATGGACTCTGAGTTTAAGACCCGAATGGCTATATGAGGAACCTATAAGGGGGGTTTAAGGAGGTGAAAATAACACATTTCATTTTTGGACACACCGAGTTTGAGATGCCAGCAGAAATGTGGGTCCGTAATTCAGAGGATCTGTCAGATTTAAAGCAGAGTCACCAGCATGGAGGCATCATTAAAGACTCAGGCATACTTAGAAAAGTGGGTAAGGGGACAGGAAGAAAAGTTTTGTTAAGGACAAAACTTGGAGAGTGCTCACGATTTAAAGGAACCTTAAAGGAGCCAATGAAGAAACTGAGAACACTATTACAGATAGAAAAACCTAGACAGTAAAGGTTCATAAAAGACAAATGACAAAAAAAATGTTTTAAGGGAGAATAGTCACTATTACAAAATGCTACAGAAACTCAAGTAAAACTGAGCTTCTCAAATTGGAAATACAGATATACACCCACTCTTGGTGCCGGGGACTTGGGACAAAGTACAGGATAAAAGTGGCATATGATCCGGGAACATTAATTGTACAAAGATTTGTGGGAGAGTCCAATTTAATTGCTATGTCATTTATAACATTTTTATGGTAAAACAATTATACCATGAAGCAGAAAGAAAAAAATTCAAGAAATTTTTAGAAAGGGAAAACGCTCAAGACTTCAAAGAAATTTCTTGCCCCGGGGGGGGCAGGCTGCTTTGAGTGTCCTAGGTACAATTTTTTTTTTTTTTTGCCATTCAGGGATCCTCTGGAAAAAGTTTAAGCAACTTTGAGGTAGGAATAGAACTAAGAAACTACTAGAAAGTGGTCACCCTTCTTTTCAAGAGCATAGTTTCAGTATAAATGGTGAAGGAAGAATTTAATATGCAAAGAAGGCAAAAGAGGGGAGAGTGACAAAATGAAAGCAGATGGTTGGTTTTCACTAAGTTCAGTGGTAAAAACAAGCTGACTGGTTTTTTTTGGGAGATCTGAGTATATTCCTAAGTTGAAGTGAAGGAAACAATCAGGAGGAAGAGTTCATCATGAGCAAGAAAACAACTGACAGAGTAAAGCCTCAGAAGAAAAAAAAAGGGATGCATCAAGAAGCCAAGAAGAGTGACCCTTAGTGAGACAGATGCTCGGGCCGCTGAAGCCACAGGAATTTTAGCTCCAGGGAGCAGAGGCCTTGTCCCGTTCATTGCTACGCACCTTGGATTCGGTGCAGTGTCAGAGGCATACTCGAACCAAATAAACACCTGCTCAATTAAAATGAAATAAAACCACTATGTGATTACAGCTCCAATACAACAATATCCAAAAACTTCCTTTTAAATTTTTATTTTTAAAAACTTTACTTAAAAAAACTTCTTACATTGTATCATCCTTTGATTCTTCAAATGCATTTAGTTCACGGATGAGAAACTGTCTGTCCAATGGAACTACAGGCTGACCAGATTCTAGAGGAAAAATCATGAGTCTTTATTCATCTAAAAAGCACATATGATTTTGGTAAGAACCACTTACCAGTTATACAGACTTTCCAGATTTTGGAAGAGTGATGATGACACATACCAAGGCAGATCCAATTGTATGTGATTTTAAGATTTTCAAAATATCATTTTGTTATATGTATAACTTAACAGAGTTTAACATAAATTCATTTTTTAAATTCCCCAATTTTTGGTTGGGAACATATGTTTCTGCATACTGGACTTCAGTAGTCTTTTTCTGAAGAAGCCTACGAATTAAATACAGGACAGTAACAATATCCATTTGGTGGCAATAACTCTAAAATTAACCCAAATATCAAGTGCTGGCAAGGATACAGGGCAACTGGATACTCTCATCCTTTGCTTTGCTAGTAGGAGAGCAAAATGGTACAACCACTTTGGAAAACAGTTGAGCCATTTCTTATAAAGGTAAGCATGTACTTACCACACATAACCTGCAATCCCACTCTTAGCTCTTTACCCAAGAGAAATGAAAGCTTACATTCACACAAAAACTTGTGGTGAATGTTTACAGCAGCTTGATTGATAATTGCCAAAATATATACACAACTGGCCATCAACTGATAATAGATAAATTGGCACAGCAATACAAAGGAATGCTGATATTCAGTGGGGGGAAAACCAACACAGCTGAATCTGAAATGCATTATGCTAAGTGAAAGGAAACAGACTCAAAAGGCTACATCCTGAATAAGCTCATTTATATGACATTCCGGAAAAGGCAAACGACAGGTACCGAAAAAAACAGATCAGTGGTTGTTAGGGGTTGGGGTAGGTGAAGAAGTTGACTAAAACAGGGCACAGAGAATGTTTTGAGGTGATAAAAATATTCTCTACAGTGATTGTAACTGAGGTGGTAGTTACGCAACTGTATACATTTGGTAAAATCCATAGAACTGTACACTAAAAAAGGAATACTGCATTGTTAATTATACCTCAGTTTTTTAAAAAAGCCAAGACACTTAACATGAAATTTGACTATTATGACTACATTTCATTCTAGGGAAGCCCAGGTCCAAGACTTAATTCATTATATTTTCATAATTTTCTTTTCTGAGTGTTAATAGTATTATACAGCCATCTATAACAAACTGAGGAAAGTGGAGGCTGATTCTGAAGATCCTTAAACCACTGAAACTCACCAGTCTTTATTCAGTTAAGATATGTGCTTAACATTAAAGATATAGAATGTTAATTTTAAAAAAATCTATTAAATGGAAAAGTTCCAACATCACCAAGAATTCATTCTCTCTTCCAAAATCTACTTCATGGTTTCTTTTTTTTGATGAGGCATGAAATAGTCTTAAAGCACAGATTAAACCTTAAACAAAGCAATCCTTCCAATCCCATTTCTCCCCCAAGCCCAGAGGAAAGTCTATCCTGATTAATGTGCATTCTTTTCAGTTATTTACTTACTTTCTTCAGAAATAAAATATAAGAGATAGATATCTCTTTAACAGCCCACCTCCTCCCCCCAACACCACTTCTCTCCCTCCTATCATTACAGTGAGTTTGGAGTTTACCTTCCCAATCCTTTTTAAGTAGGTTCCAGGCCAAGCGCAGAGCCCAACTCAGGGCTCAAACCCAAGGCCCTGAGATCAAGACCTGAGCTGAGATCAAGAGTCGTATGCTTACCTGACTGAGCCTCTGAAACTGTATTTTTAAAGCATCTACACAGAAAAAAGCTGGCAGCAAACAAGATAAAATGTAAACAACTTTTTATTTAGTATCAGGAAATACAGATGATTTTTCAAAGTATGCACCTAGTTTAAGTGTTTAGGTATTTATTTTCCCCTACAATACAATAAGCCCCATGAGAATGTATTCAAGCTATGGAAAGAGCCCAGGAGCTTTTTACGTCCCAGGCACCTGGATGACACCGTGTGGTAATGGAATTAGATTTTCAGCCTAAATATTTTCTGAGAAGTGAGGGAAGGGAAAAAGCAGATTTTGTCTCAGGCAAGTAATAATAACCTCTTACCTGATATGAGGACAGATGCTGTGTACTTATATTTGTTGAACTCCAGATACTCCCGAATTAGTTCATTAATTAGAAGGTTTTCATGAGACAATGATGGTCGGGATTCGCTTTCATCATCTAGGGCATTGAAAACTTCAGCTCGGATCCTTGCTTTTAAATGCCCTAATACTCCCCTTTTCTCCAACGTGTCCTTTAAAACTGTTAAACATAAAACATTAATGCTTCAATTACAGATTAAATTTGGTCATTCTAGGGGCGCCTGGGTGGCTCAGTTGGTTAAGCGACTGCCTTCGGCTCAGGTCGTGTTCCTGGAGTCCCAGGATCGAGTCCCACATCGGGCTCCCTGCTCGGCGGGAGTCTGCTTCTCCCTCTGACCCTCCCCCCTCTCGTGTGCTCTCTCTGTCTCTCATTCTCTCTCTCAAATAAATAAAATCTTTAAAAATATATATTAAAAAAAAAAATTTGGTCATTCTTAGGCATACTTTGAAGAAAAATGTTTAAAAGGTAAATGGCCTAGTAGCCATTGTTTTTATCTAAACAATGTGCTGAATGGAAGTTATCCGGTAAGCATCATGTTTGTAATAAAAAATAAAGTTCTCAAGTTGCAATGATTTGCTGTTTTAATATATTTAAGCAAATTCAAGTTTCTCTTTCCAGCATCATCACCGTGGGAAGCTATAGTTTGGTATGCATCTTCAGGGAGGGAGGAAAAGGGAATGCAGAATTATCCTTGGCTTACTGGGGCCTGAAATTTCCCGTCTCCTATATTTTCAAGAGCATTTATCACTGCAGATAGGTCTGTGTCACTAAAAACCTCTGGTCTAGAAAGATGGTTAAAGATAACAAGTACATCCCATAAAAGGAAGGAATTTGTTGTCTTTTTTGATAAAAACCTCTGATACCCAGATAACCGCTGGGGAGTGGCCCATCCTGAACAAAAAGGTGTTTCTTTGGGTTTTGTTTGTTTTTTAAAGACACTTATGAGTTAACTTCCTAAAAAAAACAGGATTTTGAAATTGTAAGCCTAGACAGGAATCTAACACGTAGCTATATCATTGCCATCTTAAAGAATCAGGGATATATATGCTGAATGTAATCTAACTTCTTCTTGATGAGCAAAGGTCCTATTACAATATCGGTTGTGATAATGAGATTTAACCATAAATACCAGTATGGACACTGAGGGGCATAGAGCTGAACTGGCATCATTCCTTGCAGTGGTCTGGAACCTCTTTTTTCACATTGTCCCTAATGGCTAAATAACAAACCCAGACAATCAACACATCTCACGCACAGTGCCTAGAACATAGTAAGAGCTCAATAAATGCTACCTGGGAGCATTATAATACAGTGCTGAATACTGTTGGTGTAATAAACATAGTTTAATACTGTACTGTGCCCTGCCAAAGGCACCAAATAACTACACCAAAATAAAGAAAAATTAATAAATGGAGCCCAAGGAGCTCATCCATGTAGGCATAAACATAAAATCCCTTTAAGCTTTAAGATACAACAACAAAAACCTGGGTGATATGATTACAGAGACACAATGTAGACTGAACTTTAACCTTTCTCGCCCCTTGTTTTTAAATCATCCCCTCAACCTTTTTGGCAGGTATGCAAGTACAGTTATCACCCAATCAGACTTTGTAATAGGCCCATGAAAGGAAGGTCCAGTCTTATCATATTCTTGGGATCATAACCAAACCCCGGTTCTCTAATTCCACCTTTGGAAATTAGATGGAAGAGATTTTTTTCCCTGGCCAGGATCCTGTCTCAAATACTCTGAATTAGCACACAGCACAGCCTCAAACTCAGCAGAGAAGTGAGTATTAATGACGCTGGAGTTAGGAAGCCTATCCTTTCTCATCACCAGCTCATGCCTCAGCTGCCCTCTCCAGCATAATGAGTTCTACCTCTCAAAGGCAGAACCAAGTGAGGTGGAAAAATGTGAAAATGTTTTAATAAGGTAAAAGCCCAGGGGCACCTGGATGGCTCTGTGGGTTAAGGACTGACTCCTGATTTTGGCTCAGCACTAGGCTCCAGAGTGGGCATGGAGCCTACTCAAGATTCTCTTTCTCCCTCCGCCCCTCCCCAATTACCCCAAGGTGTGTGTGGTGGGGGGGGGAGGGGAAATGAAAGCCCATACAATGTAAGATAATTGAGCGGTTGAGCGGGAAATACATTTTCTCTGAACACAAAGCATATTCAGAACTGGGGAATGCAGAAAAAACAAAGGGATACATCTGCATAGGACATTCCTAATCCCCAGTTATATTTTCTTTTCAGGTTCCATACCATTTTGCCCTTCCTTTAACTATGCTTAAAAATCTGTACCGTAAAAAATCTGTACCGTAACAACTTCTTCAGAAAGAAGTTCTTAACCTGGCCTAATATCCCAAAGTATCTTTAAATCCTCTGAAGCTGATGCAGTATTACATGTGTTCTGTATTTCATGCAGGGAGGGTGCTCAGATTCACCTGAAAGTCTGTTCTTGTGCATAAAGGCATGCCTTTTTTGACTGTTCATCATCAGCCCAGTGCCCCAAATACACATTTGTATCAATGCTTACTGAATCCTATTCTCAAAGGGATTCAACCCTTCTCTGCCAGATCTTTAAGAATTACTGATTTAGAGTGCAAGGTCCCTGAAAACTGGAACTGGTTTTATTAATCAGGCAGCAGTATCACCCAGTGTTTAAGACCTGGAGTTCAGGGGCAGCATATCCAGGTTCTCACGCACTGCCTCCTTCTAGCTAAGTTACTTTGGGCGAGCTATTTCACCTCTCTGCATCGCAATTTCCCAATCTATGAAATGGGGCATAAGATTGTCACATAGACTATTAGGTGACACAGGGACTGGGCAGTGTCTGACATTTAAGGCTCACTTGCAACTATAAATACTATTATTTGCCTGGATATCTGCGTCAAAACCACCGGGCACAAGCGTTACCCGTTTCATGACTCGCACCTTTGTGGAACTGAGTGAAAAACACAGGAGAATGGCCAAGTCAGGAAACTTTTCTACCTCCAGGTTTTTCCAATGGAGATCGGGACCTACTCCACTGGTTGTTATAAGGATTCCGTAAAACAAGTAAGCAAATGGTTTAGGGGTTGCACCTAACCCCAATAATGGATGTGGGTATTGTAATCATCAGTCCCAAATGAAAGCTGCGGCCCAAAGCCTCGGCTCGAGCGGGGTCCGACAAATGCGCCAGAGGCCCAACGTGCAGGACTAGAGACCTCTCCGGACCCTGCGGGTCCTGTAGCTCCTCTTCCAGCTCACAGCTGATTCCAAAACTGCCCCTGTGCGACCCCTTCCCTCACCCAGGGCCCCGGCGAAGCGGCCGCCACACCAGCCGGACGCTCTGCGAGCCCTGACGCCTCAGAACGACCCCCGAAAAGGCTGGTTCTGTGTTCCGCGCGCCCTCCTTTCGTTGCATCCCTTTCACAGGCGGAAGGCCAGACGCGTCTCTCCCGGGAAACTTCCCACTCGCACTCACCAGCCTTCAGCTCGGCGACAGTCGCCATTTTTCAACCGCCGTCAGGGGCGCGCCTCGCCGTGCGCACGCGCAGCTCCGCCCCGCTATGCGGCGTGGTCTATAGCCAATAGGCGTGCCTCTCTCGCGGCGCTCGGTCCCGCCCCTTTCAGTTTTCGCTCTCCCGGGTTGGGTGGATGGTGACAGTCCGGAGGGACCTCACCAATCAGCGAGCCCTCTAGGTGCTGCGGGAGGAGGGAGGAGGAACCGGGACTGAGACAGATTAGAGCCCTCACCTGTGGGTGCTGCCGTCAAGTTAGTGCTTATTAATCCTTCCATGATCTGCCCACTGCTCATCTCTGCAGCCTCAGGGACTAATTGTCAATGGTTACCATGTATTAAGCCTGTGGTTCTCAAACTTGAGCGTGCCTCAGAAGACTTGTTAAACAGATCGCGGAGCCCCACCGCTGGGATTTCCGATTTAGTCAATCCAGGGTGAGATCCGAGAACTACATTTCTAACAAGTTCTCCGGGGATGCTGGTGCTGCTGTTCTGGGGATCACACCTTGACACTGTCCTAAATGCTTTACACACGTTGGCTCATTGATTTCTCTATTATGTCTCCCATGTTACAGAGGAGGAAACTGAGTCTTTTATGACTGATGAGGCTTAACCAAGATCATCAGCAGATGGTGGAAGTGAGATTTGAATCCAGGCAGGCCTCTTAATAATGGGTAGTCTAATGGCACTTAATAATGGGTAGTACACCTAAGGAGTCCAAAAGCTATTTGTGAATAATTGAGGAACTTTAGAATAAACTCTACCATCCCAAGGAAATGAAGAAGAAAGAACATGGGAATAATCTAACCAAAGCTGAGTGTGAGATTCTGTGCTTCCATTTAGGAATCCAGTTCGGTGATTCCTCCCATTGCCAGAAGACCAACACCTGTGACCTAGATGCTAGAACAGTGCCCTTTAAACTGCTAGTCTTAACCCATAGTAGGTTTTGAAATCTATTTATCAGTGGCTCCCAATGAATGTATTTTCAATGAAATGGGATGGAACAAATAGAAAACAAGTATTGGGGTTTTGGGGGGAACTTTTGTTTTGAGTATGAACGTGTGTCCCGATTCTTGGTGTATTTCTCAAAGTGGGTAGCAGTGAAAAAAAAGTTTGAAAGCCATTGTAACCTAGAGGAGTCCATTCCCATTCCAAAGTAGATTAATTCTGACCTTGTGGAGCACAGATCTGTTCTGTAAACTTAGAAAGGCCCTATTCTGTCACACTTCCCTATTCTGTAAAACCCACAGAGCCTGAATTCCTGACCAACATCTGAAGAGATTTATAAGGATTAACCAAATTCCATAGGTAAAATGTTTGAGCTCCTCAGAGAAAAGCACTCCTGGATATATTGATGAGGAACTAAGAGAGAGAGGCAAATAATAATGTGATTGATTGATTAATGGTGGTAATCATACAATAACATCCTTTAGCACTCTGTGTGTGATAGGCATGGCTCTAACGCTTTACTTCAAGTCCTCATCAACAACTCACACAGCAATCATCTAATACACAGTGTTGGTGAGGATGTGGGGAAACGGGCATTGCCATTCCCAGCTGGTATGTGTGTATATTGGCCCCACCTTCTTGGAAGGCTACTTGGCAATATCTAATCAACCTTTCACAACCCTACCTATGACCCACCAATTCTAGTTCTAAGAATGTATCTTATGGATACACCCACATCTGATCACCAAGGATATATACATAAGAATATTCACTGTAGCGCTGTTTATAGTAGACAAAATCTATATGTGCCTGTCAGAATGGCCGAAAGAAAAACAAATGACAATGACAATATCAGAGGCTGGTGAGTATGCATTCATTGCTGGTAGGAAAACAAAGAAATCGGTTTGGCTAGTGCTGATGAAGCCAAGCATATACTCACCGTACAACTCAGTAATCCCACTCCTAGGTGTTTACCCGGGAGAAATAAAAACTTCTCTCTACACAAAGCCAGTATGAAATAGTAGCGGATTTATTCATAATTGCCCCACCTGGAAATGACCTAATGTTTTCCAACTGGTGAATGGATATAAATTAGCTGTGGTGTATGTCTGTACCATGGGATAATAAAGGCTCAATAATAAAAAGGAGCTGGCCACTGATACATGCAACAATGTGGATGAATCTCAAATGCATTGTGCTTGGTGAAAGAAACAAGACTCAAAAAGCTACATCCTGTAGGATTCCACTTATGTAACATTTTGGAAAAGGCAAAGTCCTTTGGAAAAGGTATGGAAAGCTCATCAGTGGTTGCCAGGGGCTGGGATAATGAAGGGGACTGTCCATAAGGATGCACTAGGACGATTTTTGGAGTCATGGAACTGTTCTACATCTTGGTTGTGACTACACAATTGTATGCATGGATCAAAATGCATAGAGCTGCCCAGTTGGAAGAATGAACTTTATTGCATGGATACCTCAATCAACCTGACTTTTTCAAAGTTCCCGGAAATACCAACATTGTCAGTAGAGAAACTGGTAAAGTAAATTAAGGTACAGTCATAAATGAAACATGATCATTTGAAAGAAGAGTGAGTTCTAAACATATACATATGTAATTATCGGCAATATGCATAGATAGAAATTTTTAAAAGCATAGTCCAGTAGACAGTATGCGGTATGTCACCAATGGTTCAGAGAAAGGAAAAATACTAAGTATTTGTTTGCCTACACATGGGATGCCTCTGGAAAGATACACAAAAAAGTAAAGCAAAAATTGTCCCTGAGAAGGAGGACTGGATGACTAGAGGGTGATGGTCAGAGAGAGACTTCTGTCTTAATCCATAGACTAATTTTGATTTAAATTTTGATTTAATTATGTGTATGCATTACTGTGCATAACCAGGTATGTGCAGGGGTAACCTGTTCACGCCTCCTCTTGACTGCATTAAGTACCTTAACATGCTCAATTCTGGAAAATGTAAGAGATTTAATACCTCCTTTGACCGAGGGGAGCAAGTGGATAATCCATGTCTTGGGTGGACATTCCTTATTCATTCATTCATTCATTCATTCATTCATTCATTCATAGCACAGGCAGGGGGAGGGGCAGAGAGAGAGGGAGAATCTCAAGCAGACTCTGTGCTGAGTGTGGAGCCGACACAGGGCTCGATCTCACGACCCTGAGATCATGACCTGAGCTGAAATCAAGAGTGGGACACTTAACCGACTGAGCCACCCAGGCGCCCCTTGGGTGGACATTTCTGAGACATATTCTACATAGTTCCTTAGGGGATCTCTACTGGGATAGCCCGGGCAGTAAACATCCCCATAGCCCACTACTGCATTGGCTTCACCCCCTTCAGTATCCCCACTCCAGTTTCCCAGAATTCTTCCCAAAATAAACTATTTGCAAACCAGCCCTCAACTCAGATTCTGCTTTTTGGGGTTAAACCAAGCTAGGGCAATGACCTTCCTATTTATATATAGAAAGTCCATGCAGAGTCCCTGCATGATGCCTCATTACTGCAGTCAGTTTTCTGACATAAGATCATGGCAACTGATCATTTCAAGTGGAGTAAATGGCTGCTTATGAGCTTCATGAAATCTGAATCATGAGGTCTTATGATGACAAGATGAGAATTTTATCGTTGTGTCTCACTTTTTATTTCATTGTTAGGCGATATTGTAAGCTGATGCAGATCCATGGAACTGGTATGTACACAGAGCATTCTGAGCAAGGCAGGGAAAGACACCCGAAATGTCTCCTTCAACCACAGAAACTTGTTTCGATGTTTTAATAATACAGGTTCAGGTGCTGGCGTATGGGACCGCTGCCTGTTTCTGGAAATGGAAGTCTTACTAGAACGCAGCCCTGCCTGTTTTGTATGCACAGACTGCGCTTGTTTTCATGCTGTAAGAGCTGAGTAGTTCCAACAGAGACCACATGTCCACAAGCTTAAAAATATTGAATCTGGCTCTTCAAGAAAAAGTTTGCTGACTCCTGACTCCTTGTACTGTAATTTTTCCAGGAAAAGGGTATACGATTTAACAGATAAACCATTACTGGGGGGCGCCTGGGTGGCTCAGTCGGTTGAGCGTCCAACTCCTGATCTCAGCTCTAGGTCTTGATCTAAGGGTCCTAAGTTCGAGCCCCATGTTGGGCTCTGCGCTGGGGCTGAAGCCTACTTAAAAAAAAAAAAAGCAATAAATAAATAAAAAAACAGATCAACCATTATGATTCTCTGAGCAATAGCCAGTAATAAGAAACGTGACACCTGACACTTAGGAAGCCCTTACGATGTGTGTGTTATTTCTTGTCATCCTAAAAACAACTGAGAGGCAAGTTGTATCAATCATCCTTGTTTATTATACAGAGAAACTGGTGTTTGGAGAGTTTACATGACTTCCGAGCACTTGGCAAAGTCAGAACTGGACCCCAAGTCCAGTGACCCCTACGTAGCTATTTTTGGTTACCCTGAAGTGAGAAACACCTCTCCCTCCTCCTCCCTCCTCTCCCTCCCTCTCTTGCTGCTGGGCCTTGGCACATGTCCATCCCTCAGCCCAGAAATTTCCTCCTCTTCCTCCCTAGTTGACTCCTTCTCCTTTGTCAGGTCTCAGTTTATACCCTGGCTCTTCCTAAAACTTCCCTGGCCAGATTAGGCTCCTTTTCTCAGACCTATTTTGGGAGGTGGGAGGGGCTGAGAAAAGGGATGGGTATGGAGACAAGAGAAGGCTTCCAAGTAGAGATGCACCACACCCATGCCCCTGGTCCTCCCACCCCGAAACCCAGGGTCATGCCCCCTCCTTGGGGGCAGACCACTTCCGGTGCCCGAACCATGTTAGGGTCTAAAGGTCCAGACTCCTTACCCCAGATTGGGACAATTCTTTGGGATCTCCTCCACTTCAGAGCTTCCTGAGGGGGTAGGTCAAGGCCTTTTTTTCCAGCTTCCTCCTCCCCTCCCCCAAGATCCCTCTCTAGATGTTGACCCCAGTGGCCCTCTCGAACAAATGCCCACCGTCAGCTTCCCAAGGAACCCATGACTCAATCCCGGAGACCAGTAATATGTCTGGTGGCCTCTG